CCCCAAAAAAAAAAAAAAAGCACAGCCAGTATGGAGCCAAAGGTATCAGTTTATTATGCTTGAAGACCCTTTATGCAAGCTATTATCTTTAGGGACTGCATCAATTTGGTTTTTCAGTTAAGTCACATGAACTGTCTTACTAGATGAGGGCGGTGGGCATTTGTGTAAAATGGCAGCAGTGCACTAACAGCAGTTTCTATCGAGGGTCAGCAGTTGTTGATTTAAAGGAGGGGGTCTCACGTCACAGCGCGACAGCTGCTTCCATCAAATACAACTGACCCTCAAGGGAGGTGTGAACGAAGTGAGGCAGAGTGGGGTGTGATGTTATTTTTGGAAGCAGAGGGTCCAGATAGCTGGTAATCTACACTCCAGCATACCTTTCACCCAATCCCAGAGAGAAGGGCTATTTATAAAAGACCATGAGGTAAGCAGCTTTCTTCATGTGCTGCTGAGCCGGAGACAGACAGGTGACAAATGTGAAATAACCCTGCACGTATGCGCACCTGTCCCAACGGCACCCTGTCCCTGCTCTTGTCACTAAATGTTTATAAGAAACATACTTCCTTTATCAAGTGTCCAAGTCTTCTGAGCAGAATATACATGTATGAATTCAAATTCAAAGTAAAAATGGCTGCGATGTACAGAAATACTATAAACGTGTTCTATTTTATCTGAAGTTTTCGCTGGTGCTGCTATCTACTGGTGCACGCTGAGGATCAACTCACCTGGAGATAGGACACATGGTACTCCAACAGAGCCTGAGCATTGCTAATGTTCTCTTTAGTTCCCACAAACACGAAGGGAACCATGCCCTAATAAAGACAAAGAAGGCGAGATGAAGAGTTAAGTTTTTTTCTTCTTCAGAGAAACAGAAAATCATCATTTTAACTACTAGGCACTTTTCTCTGGGAGATATCACTGACTTAGGACTGATTTATGGTTCTGTGTTGAATCTGTGCATAGGCTACACAAGTGGCCTACACTGTTGTCAGCTGGTGTATCAGGGTTTGCATTTCTTTGTCACTTACTAACAATGACAACTGAAACTGAATGGGTCATGTTGGAGTTAAAACAACTATTGAACAGCAGTTACTTATACTGAAATTACTGCAATGCAGATAAGAAAGATGACATTGGAGGAGACGGTCTGCACAACCACTGAACCAACTGATGTAGAACGAGGGGGGATTTTCTGTGCTTATTTGGCAACTGAGAGATATGAATGAGGAAATGCACCGCAATCAGTCACAGTTGTTGCAGTCTATGTCACTACGATGTGTAGGTGCACGTTAGCCTACAGTGTAGGCTATGGCATAGGGTACGAGTCCACGTTACTTATGGCATAGATTCAACGCAGAACCATAAATCAAGGTTTAGAAAGAGTTCAGACCTTACTGTAAAAGAGCAATTTAAGTGGGGAATTACAGGCCCTTTCTGGAATGATTAATATGTTAAAAAAAAAAATCTTATAAAGCATACTGAACAGAAACATACTGCATCAACCCATCAGAGACTACACACAATTAAGTTCCCACACACGGCCAACATAAATGACATATGCTGCACAGTGGGCTGTGTGTACTGAAAACAATGAAAACATAAGTACTGGTGACAAAACAAGAGACAAAGCAGCAGAATGAACAGTGTCAAAGCAGACAGCACATGGGATGTCTACACTCTGCTGCAGTTAAGGAGCTTTGCTTGCCGAGCGGTCCATTCACCTCTTTGCTGCTAGCAGTGTCGTCCCTGCCAGCCCCCTGCCTGCCTACCTCCTCCCGGGGAAGCTTTTTGTCGTTGTCTCCCTCAATCCTGACACGGACCACGCCTGACTTGTCCACAATCTCCTGAATGACTTTGCCGTTCTTGCCAATGACTTTGCCTGTGTCAGAGCGAAAAGAGAAAAAAGCCTGAATGATAAAAGAACGTATGTGTAATAACAAGGAATATGCTATAGTGATGAAGAGGGATTGTATGTGGAATATGCTATAGTGATGAAGAGGGATGTCGTGACCATGAACACTAGTTCTCTTATAAATGAAATGGTGCTCACTCACCTACAAGGTTCCTGGGTACCTGAAAATAGTCTTCTTTGAACTCAAGATACTCTCTGGCTTGCTTCACAGCTTCTGGAGTCTGTAACACAACACATATATTAGACCTAATTACACTAAAGTACTGTTTATCTCCCCACATACCAGGGCAGGAAAGGATATAACCAGAACAAACAGTAGTACAGAAGCCCATTAACAAGTGTACCTCTCCATAAATCCTGAATGTGCAGCTTTCCTCCTCCAGCTCAATGGCTGTGACACCAGGCACCTTTCTTGCCTGCTGGATATTGGCACCGTGGGAGCCAATGGCAAGACCCATCAGGTCCTCCCTGACCCTCACCTCCTCCTGGTATGCTGACGCTAACTGCTTACTTGTCTGGGAAGGGGGGGGGACAAAGTTGGTTTGGGTACAAATGTGCAAAACAAAGCCAAAATGGATGGCTAGGGTTGAAACCAACACTGATGAAAGGGTAACAAGTGCTGGCAAATTACCTGTATTTGACAGGGTGTGTGTGTATTAAAAAGGAGTATCTTTACCTCCAAGTGTTTGGTGGCTTCTTCGTTGCGGGACATTAGCATAAGTTTGGTGCGGATACTGCGAAAATGCATGTCACTCAGAAGAGTTGCACGCTTTACTGTGGTTTCATTTGTAGACTGTGGAGACAAAAGATGGTTGAAGTTACAAGTTAAAAACTAATTATTACATGCATATTATCAATAGTTGTTTCGTCAGTACTTGTAACTACAACAAAATTTAGAGCAGCCACTAACAAAGTTAAAAATGATGATTCAGAATTTTGCCATTGTGTGTGTTAGTTAAAAAGAGACATGAGGTGGAGCCCCAGCTCCAGTGTGTACTCCGAGTACTAACCAGCACAATGAGTTCGTGTGTTTGGGCACTGTAGAAGATGCAGTTGGCTCCAATAGCTTTCCTGAAGTCTTTGTGAATGTTGTCATTTGCACAGCTGTTGATAAAAAACAAACCACAGGAAAGTCAGCCTTGTTTTTTGTTTTGGAAGCAACGGGCCATTAGAACAACCCTGCTCAATGACACAACTTGTAATGTGAGAACTGTCACAGAAAGGTGTTGAGACGTAAAATCATTCATGCACAAGGACAGCTCAAAATTTCTATGTACAGTACAGAAGCTGACAATGTACAAGACACTCACATGTCTCTCAGGTCTTCTGGGACAGGGACGGGGACCTTGTGGAAGGAGTTTCGAGAAGAAGGGCTGTTGGGGTTGAGGGGTCTGATGCGCTCTGCTGTGACAATCTCATTGTATGTGGCGTCGCATGCTGCATATTCAATCACATAAAACTGAAAACAGCACAAGAGACACAGATTGTTAATGATACAAAGTATCAGACACAAGAAAGTACAACAGCTCAGAACCAATGTGAACTGGAAAAACACCATCATGCCAAGTGATACAGAGCCAAGAATTACTGTATTCAAATCCATGAAAACATTCTGAATCAGCTGTCATGTTAAAAGTGTCATCTGATGTCATAAATAAATTATACTTCATATAAATAATGCATGTTCCATGGCTTCATTCATTGATCTAATAAAGCTACATTCCTTTCCCTGTTACTTATATTTCAGAGAAAAGATCAGATGATACAAAGAGTGAGATGAGCACTGCACACTCCGTGCTCAAAGGACTGAATTAAAGTCATCAGTCAATGTTAAACATTCCTGGAGGCCCTTATCAGACTGCTCCAAATAACAGCACTACACCAGCAGCAACTCTCTTGGCACAGTAGTACTGCTAAGCTGTCCTGTACATATCCCACTGACACACTATTGAACCCACAGCTTGTGCTGCAGAGCCACTGCCCATTCAAATTATCTATAAATCTGAGACAAAATAAGCCAGCTGTGCCTGTTAGACTGAGTGTGCTGCAGATCCATTTTGACACAACAAGTCGGTATGAAGTAGAAGCATGGGGTGTCTGGGAAATGTAATTTGAAGGTACACTGTCGGAACACATCAGGACATGCTGGCTCTTTGAGCTCATTACCCAGCAGTGCCTATCTTACTACTGGTCTGTATTCACTCTACATACAGCATACTGCAGTACTCAGAGCTTAAAAAATGGTTAGTGGCAATACAACAGAAGACTGACACAAAGTGAAGTGCAGTGCTGTAGTCCTATTACTGATTATTAAATACTGAGACACAGAGAAAGCTAACAAAGCTTAACTGTATCACTGACAAAGTATCATCTTTTCAATAATACAACTAAATAGTTCCAGGAAATTTAAGCCCCATTAACTTAAAGTCAGGAACAGATGACTCCTTCAGCATATTGGTGCCGCCATAGCATCCAAGGTACTCTGAAGATTAGGAATATATGGCTGGATTAACAAACAACTGCGTGGTTTAAAATGTATTTCAACAGACGACAAGAGAAAAAAAAAAACAGCAGTGTTGCTCTCTGTAATTTTCTAGTGTGACTATGGGGTTTAAACTAACAGAGACGTGCAGAGGTGGAAAGAGATTCTGAAAACACCATAAAGGCAAAACACACGTCTCCAAAGTAAGGACTACATGCCGTTTCTTTTTCTGGTGTTTCTTCTGTTTAGTACATATCAGCGGTGAAACAATCAGTAAATAGTTTCATTGTTTACTCAATTTTTACCTCTTTTTTCTTAAAGATAATGCTCCTTGGTTTCCAGCAACCGCTTACCTCTCCTTTCATCATTCTGACCCGCGCCAGCCACCAGCCACATGGCTCCTGTTCATTGGCCCTGGAGTAAACCTTTAAGGAGACACAGTGAACGTGGACTGAGACATAAAAACAAAAACAAAACACTACAACTACTACACCCATTAATTGTGCTTCAAACCATCTGTAGTGGAAAGAAAGATGCAACGACAGTGAACTTGTCCTCAGCTGTATATTCAGCAAGCAAATGGCAGACCTACGCTCTTTCATGAATGGAACCCTGTCTATTGTTTAGTAAAGCAGACAAGATACATACGGTATAATAAACAGTGGCTTGGGAAATGGAGGAAATCTAAAATATGTGAGGTACACTGGCTGAATGTTGTAAAACATATGAGATGTTGCAAAAGAAAGTGTAGTATAGTTTCAGTATGTACAAAATGTGAGCAATATAATCAATTTTCACACCAGATATGGTCTCACATAGTCAACGTGCATGTAATAATATCCTGCTTGAATCAGGTTCACAGAGGCATCAGAGAATATGCCATTAAGGACTTGAATCATCTACCAGAAACTGTTCTGTTTCTTGTACGGTAA